CGTAAGTCAGCGAGTAGGCTGTGTGTTGAGCTATAAATAACCTATTAAATAGGAAACTCGGATTGCACGCTCGCAATGTCTTGATTTATTATTTGGTCATAGGTCCTACAGTAGAGGTATATTCAGCAATATGGATGGAAGGAATGGGACCTGTAACATTTCAATAATGAAATTTGAAATCCTGGAGCAGATACAAGCCTTACCAAAGCTGGTGGTTGCAGCATCAAATTTGTTGACCTTGAGGGTAAATAATACACCTTCTCTCATATTCACACTTGATTTATATTCTACAAATTGCTGATCTTGAACTATCATTTTCTTTGAAGGATTATATTATCAAGCTGCAAGATAAATATAAAACGTTATTAGAAAATATTGCAGAGTGTCATCTTTCCATGGCACACGAGTTACCTTTACAATTAAAACCAAGAAACTTTTCATTCTGACTAATTAATATTCTGGGTTTTCTTTTTTATTGACAATAAATTATCAAATTTCTAGAGTTGGTGGATAATCATATTTAAAATGTAGATATTTTATGGAGTTTAAATAAAAAACTTCCTTTTATTTTTTTATAAAGATTTAGAGTTGATCATGCAATAACTATCAATATTGCTCTTCATGTAATAAATTTTATATTAATATGTCAATCATTAATAAAGATTTTAGTCCAAATTTTAACTTTAAAAGTTTATTATTATAGATGATATGCACCATTTCTGACACAAAATTTTTTCTTACATGAATTGATTTTAAAGCTGCATTGAATGGTAGTGGTTTTTTTAAAATCCAACATGTGGATCACATGATATTTCAAAACTTTTAACTTTTGAGTATAGATGATCCACACTGTACAGATATCAATATATACTATTTAATAATTAACCCAATGAATCATGAATTGAATTGATTTGGATCAATATATAGGCCACTAAATCCTGAGAGAGAAGCCATGGCATAAGTAAAGTGATTGGATACCTGAAAGAGGGTTAATCACAGAAAGGAACAGTGACTGGATCCATTACTTTCTATTCATGGGCCCAAACATTTCACTTCTTCTATGGGGAACGTATTACTTTAAAGATGTTCTGATTCCATAAAATCAGAGAGCTGAAATAATCACTACTTGACTATTTGATAGTAAACTTTTTTGTAATTAGGATGACAGTGTTGAAATAAATCAACTGGGTAATATACATTTATTAATACAAAGATATATGTGGGTAAATATAATTTTATTTAATAAAGATATTATATGATAGTGTGGTTTCAAGTTCACTTAAAGTAAAACATTAAGTTGAACTGATTCCAAAATACATGATATTTATATAAAAAATAAATTATAAAAATGTTCATATTATGGAAAGTTATAGAAACTTTTGATTATTAATAAATTATTCTAAATTATTCTACTAGTTTCTTCATCTTTCTTAACCATAGATTTTTATATATTTTCAACTTCAATTCTATATTAAAGTAATATTCAAAATTGTCTTCAGGGATTTCTTCTCCAAAAACTTCTTGGTATTCTTTTTTAAAGGTTTTTAACTCCTTTATCTTTTGTTTTAATCTCCTAGTTTCTTCATTCTCTAGTTTTCTAAGATTGTTTATTCTATTTGTTTTTTCTTCATTAGATAGATATCCATTTGTTTTCTTCTTCCAATAGTTTTTCCTGTCAATTTTATCATTATTATTATTATTTATTATTATTTTTTTCCGTTTTCATCTTTTTCTTCTTGGAATAAACCCATCCCATATGTTTTTAGCTTCAGATATATTACTATTTTGTATATATTTCAATCTGTAATTCCAACTATCCTTAGAGTATTTGGCTTGTTGTGTTATATCTTCTAAATAATGATCATGATCAAATGAATATGGGCCATTATTACTTCTGAAAATATAAATTCCCACTTATGATTATAGCTTTTTGATATCATTATATCAGGCAATTGAGTAGGGCCTGATTGACCCCCCATTTCTGTTTTTAGTTGCTAGACATTTTCCTTTGAGATTAATAATTAAAAAGTAAATTTTAATATAATAATAAAAAAAAAAAATCCTGAGAGAGATAAATAAAGTAACATATAATACACTACCATCAAATTCTACATCAACATTTTCTACATTATAGAGCATAAAAATCAAAGATGCATTTTATGATCTGGTGTGTATATGATCTTTCATTAATGTTAGTTGATTTATTCTGATATAATGGCATATTCCAAGCTTTTTCTAATTTATTAAAAAAGAAATTAATACATTGTAAAATTTTTTACAATCATCTCGAAGATTTAATGGCATGTTTGCATGTCCCTTATTAATATGTGAATGGATAAAATTTTTTTCTACTAAAACAGATTCTTAAATTTACCTTTAGTTATATATATATATAATCAACAAACAAACTGATAATAAAAGACTCATCCAATTGTTAATAAATAAGTTCATCCATAAAACTGACACTCCATGACCAAATTGTACAACGTTTTTCTATGACGGGGTCAAGAACGTATCACGTTAAATGAGATCTGTGTGTATCGTTCCGCAGTTTTGACATCCACCAGCATGCTCCCAATTTTTTTTATGAACTAATCTATTTAACGCTAATTAAAATGCAAATATTAAGTTATCTATAAAATCCCAAATGATCTAATTATTTGCGAATAATACATCTGCTCATCCTGTTTTTATAATTAAAATAGCTATATCGTTGAATAATTAAAGAAATACTCATTTCACGTTAGAAAAAATATATATAATAAATTTCAGCATTAAAATAAATTATTAATTTACCTTTAAATTTAGTCTCCCGGCTTACATAATTAATATTAACAAACTATAATAATAAAAAAACTCCTCCAATTGTTAATGATTTCATTCATAAAATAGCAAATGGAAACAAATTTTGGTTTGTAAAAAAAAAAATCTTTTATATATTTTTTTATTCGTATTAGATACTCACAACTACTACATAAAAAAAAATTTTTAAAAAACAATACAATTTTGTCACACAAAACTCGAAATATCACATTTCATTATTATGATATATATATATATATATATATATATATATAAGTATTCTACCGCACGTGCTATAATGTATATAGAAGGGATTATTTTTATTTATTTTATATACAGTATATGAAAGGAAAAATCAAAACTTCAAGTGTTACTACCATACAAGATAAAAATAAATAAAAATGGATATTTTCTTATTTAGTATAAATATAAATGAATATTAATATAGATAATTTAAAAAATTTCCCGTTCTTCTACTTGTATTTGATAAAATTAAAAAAAAATTAAAGAAATGATGAAATTGCTAATAATTAAATTATTTATAATTTTTTCAATACTTTTTACAAATTTTACTTCAGGTATTATTTATTTTTGATATCCTCGTGTAATTTTTATATTTTAATACTAGTTAATGTATAAATTTATAAAAAAATTTTTTTTTTTGCAGCTGAAATAAAAATAGTTAGTCCATCATCAAAGTACTATTTTGTATCTGGAGGAAATAATTCAGTAATATGGACGTTTGATAAAACTATTGATCCAAAAGTATTTTCTGCATATTTAAATAATCCCGTAAGTCTTACAAACTTTTTATTTATCAATGAATTACCAATCAGTTATTATTAATCCAACTGATCAATTAATTTCTTTTAAATAAAATAGGACATTGCAAGCTTGAAAGATTTTGCAATTTTAAGCGCAACTGATATAGCACTTGGGACAGCCGATGTCTCAATCCCGTCTAGCCTAATTAATACTGGTAATTATTTTTTGAAAGATTGAGAAGGGTATTTGGATATTTATTTACTATTACTGATTAGTATTTTTTGCAATTTAGGATTTGTTATAAAATTTACGAATATTTACAATATTAGTGATATATATGCAACCTCTGAACCATTTGAAATAAAACCAGCTGGATCAACTCGTAAAGCGATTTTTTTTTTGAATGTCATTTTTATTTATTATTATTTTTTTTTTGATAATAAATCACGAATTCTTTTTCTTAGCCATTACATACGTACCACCAGTACCCACTGCCTCCCCATCATCAACGAGTGCATCTAAATCCTCATTAGAATCTTTATTCAGCAATAGATTTTTAATCATTAGTGCTATCAGTATTGTCAGTTATTTCATTAATTTATAAAATGTATTAATACTATTATTATTGTTATGTAATCTTATTTATCATTTCTAATGCCAGTTATTAGTAATGATTATTGCTAACAATATAATAAATTCATTATATACATAATGTGCTTAATTTTCATTTGCAAGTTAACAATCTGATACACGTGATTTTTTAGATTACACAAATAAAATAAAAAACAATTAGCAGTTGGTCATTCACCATCGGTGGCAGCGTTGACTCTGAGAATATCTTATTGATGAAGATTATAACTATTTCGAAAATATAAAGATGTATTTTATAAAGTGTGTTACTTGTTTTAATCAATTACGAATTCATAAATAAGTAAACATAAATCATAAAAATGGCGATATTGAAGATATAGAAGTAATGTTAAGTAATGTTTGATGCAAGCTATGATAGATAAAAATTAATTTAAATTTTCTCTCTTTTTTTTTTGTGAGGAAAAAAGATGTCAGAGGAGAAATCTTGTGAAATAAATTTCACAACGGTTGAATTATTAAAATCAAAACAACAACATAAATTCACCACAAAAATCAAATCAAACAAGATGATGATGAGATCACTGATAGCGATGGGTGAAGAAGGGAGGAGGAAATAGAAGATATTACGGAAATCTGTGATGATAATAAAGATTGTAATAATAGTAGTGATAATGACAGTAGTAGTGGTAAACAGAAAGACATCAATAGAACCGATTATCAATTAAAATAGGGTTTCAATTGGTGTCAAGGAAAAAAAGATAAATCATTCATCCACTTTCCCAAATAAAAATCTACATTCTACCGGAAAAAGGGATTTGAATGCTATCTCATCTGTTAATAGTAGTAGCAGTAGGTATGTGAAGCATAATAAATATGGAATAGATTATTTATTTGTCACACCCAATTCCCAATGAAAATTATCATGTCTTTCAATTTAGAATTAAAATATAAAGTAAAAGATTTATATAAAAGAGTAATTAACATTAAACATCAACTTTAATATTATTTTATTTTTTAATGATTATTGATTATTATTGGAAAAAATTTTATATAGTTATTATATCTAGGAAGAGATTATCCATTAGGTTATAATTACTTTAAACCAAAATTGAAGTCTGCTTTTATTAAGAAAAGTGAATTAACCGATCCATCAAAAATACAAGAAGCAATTAATCACGGAGAATATGTTTTAAAAGGTTTTAATTTCTCTCCATACAAATTGCTTATTAATTGGATTTTATTTTGATTTTGAATTAATTTCTTTTTATAATATTTATTTTTCTCATTAAATAGAAATTGAAACGTTATATTACTTAAAAAAGTATAGATCATTGAAGAAATCTTATTATTCTGATGAAAGATAATTCTAATTAATTATTATTATTATTTATCCAACAATTACTAAGTTATAAATGCCTATTTTTTTTGAAATTAATTAACATGACATTGACATTGGTGGCGATGGTTTCTCTCTATCCATTTATAAATGATTCTTCAGTCCTTAATAAGTTTTCTCTACATAAAATTTTGTTTTATTACTACTATTATTGTGTTTTATTTTTCCAAGCAATATATTGAAATTTGGAATCTCTTGAAACATCAGCCAATTTGTCCAAATTTATTACCAAAAAACCCAAAGTTCAAGATAAAGAAATGGGCTCCCTGATTTATCCAATTTGTATGGATTAAAAAGATCCACAAACTTTCTTTCTGGACCTATAGTTGAGCAACTACAACTACAACCTACTTCCAAAGAATAGATTGCTTTTCAGGGCTATTATGATTATTACGCATATTTACATATGACCCTATAGTTTCATTACTTTTTCTAATAAGATTGTTGATACATCAACAAATTGTGAGAAAAATGACCATGTGCTAGAAACGAATCGTCAAGTGACGACTCTGTTTTTTAAAGTATGGTGACTAAACCATCCTTACTAATATAAAAATATTACTATTATTTACATTACTTTCAATGTATACTAATTACGTTTTTGTGCAGTTAATACATTGGGTGACCGAATTATAACATGAATTCCAATAATAATATTTCTTTAAGACTGACTGAACAAAGGAATATGTCACTGACCTCTGGAATTATTTTGGTATGATATTATTATTATTAATTATTAATTAGCTAATTAAATTGATAATTTAATAATGATTATTATTTATTGAGGGTATATTTCTTACCAATTGTTACCTCAATTCTATGGTTGCAGTACAATAGCACATCATATATTCAGTTGATTTCATCATCCAATTTGTTATTAGATCTGACATTAATGTTGTTTTTAAGGACATTTAAATATTTTGGAAGATATTTTACAATCATTTTAGGAGTTGCTAGAAAAGTTTTCTCATTTTTAATGATATTAGTTATAATCATTTTAAGTTTTTCACATTCATTTTACTTTTTTATTGAAACCAATTCAGGAAGATTATATACTAGATAGCTCTGATTTCAGAGATAATGATCCAAATAATCCTTGAAATCTTGCTTCTAAATATTTACATATTTTAAAAGTGACAATTCATATAACCAGAATTCAATTATTGTTCAACAACCTGATGGAAATACAACATGTTTGCACATTCTCCCACCTCAATGCTGGCAATGTATAATTTCCTCACGGGTAAAATCCTATATTAATATAATTTTAAAATAACTAAAATATTGATTATACAATTGATTATGTTTAATAGGTGATAGTGGAGCATTTGGATCTTAGCAATTACAAGATGATCTATATCTGACAATAATATTCGTTTTATTTTCATATGAATTTATTCATTGGTCTTCTTAGTAATCAAATTGAAAAGTATAATATAAATGAAGCATTTCTGGCTCAAAAGGCAAAAATTATATCAGAGATTGAATTATTTTATTTATTTCCTAATCAATGTCATTGGAGAGAATGGTTTCATGATATGTAGTAACTATGCTTATTTTATTTGATAGATCTTATCATGTACCAATTGAAGATATTCAAAGAAAAATTAGAGAAATTGATAGTGGCAAAGAAGATCCAGAATTCCTTCTGTTCATCTCTGAGAAATTTAGAGATTAGCAGATATACCCAAACCAGATGAAAACAATATTGATGTTGATATCAAAAAAATAGAAAATCGTAATGAACAGATGTTGATTCAAATGCAAATTTTATTGAATGAGATTAAAAATTTAATACCTTCAGAAAAAGTTTTTTATAACAGAAAAAAATTTCGGCCATCAATAGCCGAAAAACCGTTTAAGGGATAAATAAAAATAAAAATCAAGATTTTAAATAAGGAATAAATGGATATGGGATATTATATTTATGACAAAAAGCTTTCACCTGTGTTTGCCCATGAATAATAAAAAAAAACAGCGGGACATAAATAATTAGATTTATTTATTTGGAAATGGTTTAATAAATCTATTGGTTAGAACTTAAGATAAAGCTATGTACTAATAAATTGTGTATTAGTATTATTAGTATGTACTGCTGCAATCCAAAATGGGGGTAAATATAATAAAATTCACTAATTTTCCTAAACAACAAATATAAAACTATACCCTTATAATATTTTTCCATTGTCAACCATTCATCAAGCTTATAAAGTAAAAGGTAAAACTGATTGACATGGATTGTTGAAATTTCGCTGTGTAACTAGTACAAATTTAGAAACTATCTCCAAAAATTAAAAATTTGATTGGCGTGTGATGCTACACCCTGCATTCCCCGCATTGAATTTTCCAGAATTTCTTACAAATTTAATAACACGCTTTCAAATTTGGTAATTCTTGTATACAACATTGCAGGTCTTTGTTTTTTTGCATAATATCAAATATCTATATATGTTTGGCAATCAAGTATATAAACAATTATTGTGTGCATTAAATGCATTAAATACTGTATTAGTATGCTTTTGGAAATTTAATATACATATATATATACATGTAACGAACATTATTTTGTTTACGGATTACCAAATTAAGAAAAGCACTTATCTGATCTGATGTGTGAAGAAAGTCACAAGTTTTCAAATCATATAAATAAATAGAATAATTTATTTAAATTTACCATTTCCCAAATTTCTTTAATAAAATGCAAAAAATATTTAATTATTTTAAAAAAAATGATGGAGAAATTCGATATCCTCAAGAATTGGAAAACAAATATAGAGTAACAGCGAAAGTACTTGGCACAGGTTCTTTTGCTGTTGTAAAAGAATGTGTAGAAAAAAAAACTAATGAAAGCTATGCATTGAAAATACTCACAAAGAAAGTATTAAAAGGTTAATATCAATTTCAATGCTAATATTGATTGATATAATTATCATTAGTAGGTGGGGGATAGAATATATTTAATCATTAACAAATCATTTAATAATATTATTATTATCGTCTTATAATAAATTTATTTAGGAAAGGAAAAAATTCTTTCTACTGAACTTGATATACTAAAAAAAGTTCATCATCCGTATGTAGTCTCTCTGCATGATTTATACGAATCTAAAGAGGGAGTATTTATTGTAACAGATTTAGCATCTGGTGGAGAATTATTTAGTCAATTATTACTTAAAGGTTCATATACCGAAAAAGATGCAGCAGATTTGGCTAGAAAATTACTTGAAGGTGTTGCATATTTACATGATTTGGGAATTGTCCACAGGGATTTAAAACCTGAAAATTTATTATTTAAAGATACATCAGAAGATGCTGATATTCTGATAACAGACTTTGGTTTATCGAAAATTCTAACAAGTACAGAAGATGTATTGTTTACTGCGTGTGGAACACCTGAGTAATTTATCCAAAAAAAATTTTATCTCCAAAAAAAAAAAATTTTGCAATCTCTTCAATCTCTTCTAACTTATAAGTTCTTAAATTATTATTTTTAATAGTTATGTCGCACCAGAAGTTTTGTTACAAGTTGGACATAATAAACCTGTTGATGTTTGGAGTATAGGTGTGATACTTTATGTAATGTTATGTGGTTATACACCATTCTGGGGCGAAAATCAAGCTGAATTGTTTGAATCTATTATGTCGGGCGAATATGATTTTGAAGAAGAATATTGGTCAGAAATATCAGACTCTGGTAAAAAGAAAAATTTCATATGATTAACAGTTAAATATTAAAAGTTATTTACTTAATAAATTTATAAAAAAAATTTATAGCAATGGATTTAATAGAAAAAATGTTAACACATGACCCTTCTAAGAGAATAACGGCTAAAGAAGCATGTAAACATCCTTGGTTTGAATCAGCCAAAAAAGTTGATATTCTTGAAAAAGTTAAAAGTAATTTTTCAGCCAAGGAAAGATTCAAAAAAGCAGTTCATATTGTACGAGGAGTTAACAGATTGCGTAAATCTGCAAGTTCAACCACGATTGATAATGTTAATAATAGTCATGAACTTGTTGACAAAAAAGAAAATATATCAACCATCTCCATAGAACTCCAACAAGAAGAGAACAAACATGTTGAAGAGGGAAGCGAAGTAGAGAAGGAACAAAAAGATGATGATGGCAACAATATTAATAATGATGAAATTAAAAAAGAAAATATTGTAGAAAATGCTCCAAAAGTTCAAAAAATCACAGTAATTTAATATATTATTATTAATTGTATTATTAAATATATTTTGTCTTTTAAATTTATATATTGCCTTTCATTATAAAAGCCCTAATCTACTATTTATTTATATAATTAAAAACCAAAAAATACCAGTTTATCAATTCAGTTCCCTTGCACGTTTTTTCTTCTTGTTTAAGCACTAATCCTATAGTTCTTCCAGTCTATACAAGACACATAAATTTTATTAAATACAGCCACTACCGCTTTTTGTATTCCATCTTATTAACAGTTATCAATAATTTTGCTTCTGTTGCAAGCTCAAACTATATGCCTTGTTCCAATCCAAATAATATACACAAACACTATTTAAAGTAACATCATCATTTAATATATTAAACTCAATATCACAATCTTCATGATCTTGAATAATAGTTTTTGGTGCTCTTGCAATATAAAATACTGCACGCGTAGTTATGAAAATTGAAGGATTACTAGAACCTTTTTTTTTTGGAGTGGAAGACAAGGAAAGGAATTAAATATAATTATAAATATATACTTTTATAAACTTTTTAAAGAGATTTACCAAGGCATCAATATAAACAATCCAACATTGTTGACCTGGAATAATACATAATTTCTCAAGATTTAAACCACCTTGTGGTCCATCAAAAACTCATTCTATTGTTTGAGTAAGTTTGTTATTAATATCTTCTGATCCACTTCCTGCAAATTGTTGTGATGCTATTGATGAACTGTTAAACATGAATTAAAATAATGATTTTTTTTTGTTCCAATAATAACAACATCTACTACTACTGTTACTACCAATCAACAACTCTACCTCCATCTGATTCGATTTCTACCACTTGTTCATAATCGCCATAAACTTCTATTAGACGAATCTCAATTTTCATTCCAACCAAAACATCGGTCCCTTCCCAAGTCTACAACCAGCACTACTACCACCACTTGCTTGTAATATAACTCCAGTTTCTAAAATAACTTGACGCTAAACTAATTGTTCTCTTCTATCGGTTATCATCAACTCCTTTAATAATAAAATCAATTTTCGACGGTGGAATTAGTGATAATGGTAATAACCATTTAGTCTTTAATTCAAAACTAAAATTCCTTTTGGATATTTGAGATCCCAGCAAAAATCACCAAATAATATATTACTTGTGAAGATTTGACATATGCAAGTAAGTTTCCACATTTTTGTGAAAATAATCCCTCTGTATTAGTAAGTAGTTCTAATAAATGCAATTAAGAAATATAGGGTGAAAAATTAATAGAATCATGTCTATTCCCAATTAATTTAAATATAAAAACCGACTTTTCCAATTACTAGATAATGAATAATAAATATCTATTTTCTACCGGTGGATGATGACATTAGCAGCTACAATATCATTAGCTTCAACAAAACAAATAGTTAATATATCAAAATATTAAAAAAATCAATATCCTTCTTCTTGATCTAATTTCAGTATTTTTATTTGGCAACGATATGATTGTCATCATCATCTAATAATCCGCCATAATTAGATTTCTGTGCAGTGCTATAACATACAGTCCCCGGCGAAAGTAATGGCGGTACAATAAAACATTATTTTTGCTAAGTTTTTATTAAGTAAATCGATCTTTTTATATTAAATAAAGTTGTTCATAATGAAAAATTCTACATATCCTAAAATTTTTTGATGTGTTCTTGCATTTTACATTTGTGTAAAAAAATTTGATTTTTCTATTTCGTAAAAGCGTAAAATATAAAAACATATCAGTCGTGTGACATGTCCTTTCAAATTATTTTCTATATTAAATAAAAAATTTCTAATTCGTGTCACATGAATT